AAAATAATGCTGGACCATCACAGACTGACATAATACAGCATTCCTTTCTGAGGGCCCTTCCAGACAGGCCCTATATTCCAGGTTATTTTCTGTTTATCCCAGATTATCTGGCAGTGCAGACTCATATAATCCAGTTTAAAGCAGTAAACCTGGGATCAGATCCTAGGATATAGGTAATGTTTGGAAGGGCCCTGAGAGCAACCAAACATTTTCCTGTGAGAAGTCACCTAGCTGTATTTTCTCATTAAACAGTACCCTCCATGTAACAACAGTTGACAGGAGCATCAGTTCAATCTTTCTTCAACTCTTGACAACAGAACAGCATTTTCCACTACACCTGAAGGCAACAAACATGGCACAGGAGATTGCATGGAACAAAATCTTCTCTTCTAGCATCTTGCTGGCATCTCTCTGGAACCTGAGATGACTGTCTCAATTTTCTTAATAAATAGGACTGACCCTCAGGCTGCACCTTACACAATCCTCCATCCAGGTGGAAACTGTAGTAGAACACACTTGGAGGATACCAGCTTGGGAAAGTATATCTTAGATCAGCATCCTGTTTTGAAAAAGGCGACAAGCGTGCTGCAAACATTAGACCAGGCATACAGCACTACATCTCTTAGAAAAGGCATGAGCAAACTTGGGCCCTCCAGGTATTTTGGACTTCAACTCCCACAATTCCTAACAATTCCTAAGCAGCTGAGGGGGAAAAGGAAGGGTCCTGAAGCTGTTAGGAATTGTGGGAGTTGAAGTCCAAAACACCTGGAGGGCCCAAGTTTGCCCATGCTTGTCTTAGAGCCATTTCCCCTCCAGAATGACCAGAGACCATATGGCGAAAGGATTCTGGGAGTTATAGTCAAAACAATAACTTCCTGGAGCTCTGCTTTTGCTTAAATAAGAATGGTTTAAATCAGTGGTTCTCAACCTTCCGAATGCCGCAACCCCTTAATACAGTTCCTCATGTTGTGGTGACTCCCAACCATAATATTATTTTAGTTGCTACTTCATAATTGCTACTGTTATGAAAGGTAATTTAAATATCTGATATGCAGAATATATTTTCATTTACTGGACCAAATTTGGCACAAATACCCAATACGCCCAAATCTGAATACTGGTGGGGTTGGGGAGGGATTGATTGTATCATTAGGGAGTTGTAGTTGCTGGGGTTTATGGTTAACTACAATCAAAGAGCATTCTGAACTCCACCATGGAATTGAACCAGACTTGGAACACAGAACTCCCATGACCAAGAGAAACTATGGGAAGGGTTTGGTGAGCATTGACCTTGAGTTTTGGAGTTGCAGTTCACTTACATCTAGAGATCATTGTGGACTCAAATAATGATCAATCTGGACCAAACTTGGCATGGATACACAATATGCCCAAATGTGAAGACTGGTGAAGTTTGGAGAAAATAGACATTGACATTTGAGAGCTGTAGTTGCTGGGATTTATAGTTCACCTACAATCAAAGAGAATTCTGAGCCCCACCAATGATAGAATTGGGCCAAACTTCCCACACAGAACCCCCATGATCAACAGAAAATACTGTTTTTGATGGTTTTTTGTGATCCCTCTGATGCCCCCTGACAACCCCTCCAGTGGTCTCGACCCCCAGGTTGAGAAACACTGGTTTAAATAAAAGTTTTCTTGTTTTTATATCTTGGAAAGCACCAATTACAGCAATGACACGATACAAATAAATAAATAAATAAATAAATAATACCTAACCTCTATATTTTCCTGAATGAATGCTTGGTTTTTATATTAGTGACCTTATTGTATTCATTCTGATGGGCACATGTCAAAAAAGAGCCCCCAAATGCTAATCTTGCTAAAGCTGCTATCACTGACACGCACATGCTTCCCATGCCTCGTGGGGCAATGCCAGCATTGGAATGAAATGATGCCCTGCTTGAATACAGGGGAGGTCTGCATGCTCATTCAAGGCTTTAGCTGTACACTGAAAACACTGGGATCGGAGCAACAAATCATTGAGACGTTTACAAAAGTGAATGGGGGGAAAAGTGCATTGGAAATTAGCTGGAACGTTATAAACCCTTTTGATAAAAATGTATACAATCTATGAGTAACAGAACAAACACTAAGAAATGGTTTATTAAAAGAGCCTAGACAAAAAAAATTACTTCTGTGTCAATAATACTATACAAAAAATGTACTTTGTAGAATAATGGGACTTAAAAATGACCCTCTTTGAAAATTGCATTATATAATAGCCACTATGGAACATTCATGTCTTTAGCGCTAGCATTACTGATAGACAGGCAATAATTTAGGATTTTCAAGGCAATGGATTTTCTACCCTGCATACTCAAAGCAATGTTACATAAATATTACTAAGCATACTCTCTTTCAGAGGAAAATCGTTAATTATATCTATGTACACTATTTATATACACACTAAAATAGCACGGTTACAATTGAAATTGGTCATTGCTTTAATGTCTGGCCCGCTGCAGTGCCTTGAGCCAGACCAGTTAGTGCTACCAGTTTCCAAGAAAAGCTGGTACTTTGTCAAAAATGCTGCATTGTTTCCTTGTACTGTTTCAGAGAGGCTTTTTTTTCCCTCCCCAGAATTTAACAGTCTGCCCAACCCAGCTCTAAAGATAGAACAGGTCCTTTAGGGTAGCTGCACCAAGGTTGTGCAATGCACTTTGTAGAGACACACATAAATGTATCTTAGTGCCGGTAAATTGTAATGAGACCTATGTCTTTGAGAACGTATTTCAAAGCTGGAGTCGGGCAGGTTCAGATGGAATGGGCTTAAGTTAAGGGATGTTGACGGTGCTCTGGCCTTCTACTTGTTATGTGTTGTGTATTTTCAGTTGTTGTTCATACGTTCCCTGTTTTATTGTGCTGTTCTATAATAAAGCCACCCCAAGACCCAGCAGAGTAGGCCAAATATAGCTAAATAACTTGGACACAGTTTTAAAATAATCAGGCCAGATGACTGGAATGATGCCTTTATATACATTGGATCTAAACCAGACATGGACAAACTTGGGCCCTCCAGGTGTTTGGACTTCAACTCCCACAATTCCTAACAGCCGGTAGGCTGTTAGGAATTGTGGGAGTTGAAGTCCAAACACCTGGAGAGCTCAAGTTTGCCCATGCCTGATCTAAACTATAGAATTAATGCAGTTTGACACCACTTTAACTGCTGAAGCTCAATGCCATGGAACCATGAGAGTTGTAGAAGCCACCTACAAGGATGGTAAAACATCTGGGCATCAACTAGCCAATGTCCTTGCAGACGCCCAATTCTTTCACACCGGAAGCGACTTGCAGTTTCTCAAGTCGCTCCTGACACACACAAAAAGAGAGAGTTGTAGGTTTTTAGTCTTCTCTGGCAACGAGTGCTGGTGCTACACCAAAAGTCACCTCTCCTTTCTGGCTATTCACTGGCTGAAAGCAGCCTGGCAGCATGTGACTTTCTGAACTGGAACATATAAAGATGAAGTCATCTTCCAAGGCTTCATCCAGAGGTACAAAGGAAGACATTGTTTTCATGCATCTCACAGCTGACCGCTGTCTGGCTATACTTCCCCCAGCCACTAAATAGAGGCCAGCAAGAAAGGAGGATGCTTGTGCATGGAAAGGAAGAAGAAGCAAAGATACACCTGGTAGAGATCTCCACTCTCCAACAGGGCCGTTTCACGTGACACAATTACAGCACTATGATTCCACTTTAAATGCCACAGCAATATCCTGTGGAATCCTGAGGTTTGTAGTTTAATGAGGTACTAGAGCAGTGGTTTGCAACCTTCCTAATGCTGCAACCCCTTAATACACTTCCTCAGGTTGTGGTGACCCCATAAACACAAAATTATATTTGTTGCTACTTCACAACTGTAATTTTGCAACTGTTATGAATCATAAAGTAAAAATCTGATATAAATGATGTATTTTCATTCACTGGACCAAATTTGGCACAAGTACCCGATACACCCAAATTTGAATACTGGTGAGGACTGATATCATCATTTGGGAGTTGTAGTTGCTGGGATTTATAGTTCACCTACAATCAAGGAGTATTCTTAATGCCACCAAAAATGGAATTGAACCAAACTTGGCCTACCGAACTCTCATAAGTTCCCATGGAAGGGTTTGGTGGGCACTGACCTTGAGTTTTGGAGTTGTAGTTCACCTACATCCAAAGAGCACTGTGGACTCAAACAATGATAGGTCTAGACCAAACTTGGCAAGAATACTCAATATGCCCTAATGTGATCACTGGTAGAATTTGGGGGAATTACACCTTGACATTTGGGAGTTGCAGTTGCTGGGATTTATAGTTCGCTGACAATGAAAGAGAATTCTTAACCCCACCAACAAGAGAATTGGGCCAAACTACCACATAGAACCCCCATTACCAACAGAAAATACTGTGTTTTCTTGTGATGTTTGGCAACCCCTCTAACACCCCCCTCCCTCACAACTCCCCCAGAGTCCTGACCCCCAGGTTGAGAAACGCTGCACTAGAGTAATTGGGCAGAGAATTGTAAATAATCCTGCGTACACTGAAAATCCCAGGATTCCACAGGATGGAGCCAAGACAGGTAAAATAGAATTTAGAGCTAAAAATGAAAGGACCCATGTGCCACGCAGCATCTTAGTTTCAACTTCTTTTCTTAAAATGTAGCTTTTACATTTTACTACATCCTTTGGTCTAGTAAAGAAATTGTATAGAGTATTTTGATGTGGATCAGCACAGCAAGCGGGCAAAGTCTGGATGCGGTTGAGGGAATCTGGGAGTTGTGGTCAAAGAGAGGAACTTTTCTAGTTCTGTGCTTTCATATGTGGAGCATATCAAATGACCAAGGACTAGACCTGCCATGGGCTAACTTCGGCCCTCCAGTTGTTTTGGACTTCAGCTCCCACCATTCCTAACAGCCTCAGGCCCCTTCCTTTTCCCCCTCAGCTGCTTAAGCGGCTGAGGGGGGGAAAGGAAGGGGCCTGAGGCTGTTAGGAATGGTGGGAGCTGAAGTCCAAAATACCTGGAGGGCCCAAGTTTGCCCATGCCTGGAATAGACCCGTAAGAAATTTGTTTAATGTTTAAACTAGTCCTGGAGGCGGGGGGGGGGGAGAAAGATATACAGAAACTAAACTATGATTGAGGAAGTCTATAACTGGTCAGCATTTGTGTGGAGCACCATGTTCCGGAGAAAACTAGTAAAAAAAATTATACTTTTTACCCTGGACAACCGTTTGCAAAAAACATGAGAAGTCTGTGCAATAACAACTTTTGAGGTTGATTCCATGCTCTAGCAAACTTCAAATATCAATTTGTTTTTTCCCCCTTTCTCTTATCAATGTGCCTATACTCACTTAAGAGAGAAGCTTTTCCAGCCTCCCACTGCATTTAGGCATAAAGAATATGTTGAAATTGCTGTTTTTTTTGCTGACCAAAGTTAACACCTTAATTGTCAAGCCAGCTGGGCCAGTATTAATAAGCCTGTGTTTATGAAACTAGGTCATTCTTTCCATTATGTTATACAAACTCCAACTAGGAAGTGCTTTGTGTTTTACATGTTCACAATAGATGAATAAATTCTGATATTTTCTGTCATTGCTGGTAATAACTCTCACTCTTATCTCTATATCACTCACGAAAGTTGCATAGCTGTACATTTTCACAACCTTAACATTCAAGCTGCCTGGATGGGAAAGGGCTACGATCCAGATTCATACATTTAGGATGCGAGACGGTGCCTGGAAAACAGCAGAAGGGTTTGGAGAAAACTTCCCTTTCACTTCTGGAATCTAGAGAAGAAAAGGAAAGACACAGAATTAGGGCCAATGTCACCTGCAATGTATACTGCACTATGAATCCCAATCATCCCACCTTTATTCAGAGATGGGATAGATCAGTAGTTCTCAACCTGGAGGTCAGAACACCTGGGTGGGGGTTGCGAGGGGGGGGTGTCAGAGGGATCACCAAAGACCATCAGAAAACACAGTATTTTCTGTTGGTCATGGGGGTTCTACGTGGGAAGTTTGGCCCAATACTATCATTGGTGGGGAATTCAGAATGCTCTTTGATTGTAGGTGAACTACAAATCCCAGCAACTACAACTCCCAAATGTGAATATCGATTTTCCCCAAACTCCACCAGTGTTCACATTTGGGCATATTGTGTATTCGTGCCAACTTTGGTCCAGATCTATCATCGTTTGATTCCACAGTGCTCTCTGGATGTAGGTGAACTACAACTCCAATACTCAAGGTCAATGCCCACCAAACCCTTCCAGTATGTTCTCTTGGGGCCTTTCACACAGCTCTATATCCCAGAATATCAAGGCAGAAAATCCCACTCAGAGAACCCAGTTCAAAGCAGATATTGTGGGATTTTCTGCATTGATATTCTGGGATATAGGGCTGTGTGGAAGGGACCATGGTCATAGGAATTCTGTGTGCCAAATTTGGTTCATTGTCATCATTGGTGGGCTTCAGAATTCTCTTTGGTTGTAGGTTAACTATAAATCCCAGCAACTGCAACTCTTAAATGATATCAATCCCCTCCAACTGCACCAGTATTCAAATTTGGGAGAATCTGGTATTTGTGCCAGATTTGGTCCATTGAATGAAAATACATCCTGTATATCAGATATTTACAATACGATTCATAACTGTAGCAAAGTTACAGTTATGAAGTAGCAACAAAAATAATTTTATGGTTGGGGGTCACCACAACATGAGGAACTGTATTAAAGGTTCGAGGCATTAGGAAGGTTGAGAAACACTGGGATAGATTAAGCTGAAACATTAGTTGACACGATTTTTGAAGAATTAAATGATAGTATTATTTAAAAAATACTTAAAACAGTTCAAAAACAATTTCCAGTAAAAGATTTTTAAACACTGCACACCATTCCATACACGCACTACTGCTCCCTAACACTATGGCCCCTTCTTCACTGCATATTATCCACATCATCTGCTTTGAACTGGATTATAGGAGTCTACACGGACAGGTGTTTGATTGTTTGTTTAATCTAGACAACTTTGGGGGTAATGTGTAAAAAAAAATAACATTTTAAAATGAAACGTTACAATGTAGTGGCTCTGGGCTAGTTCAAAGATATCTGCTCATTCTTGGATGAAAAAATTCATACTACGAGCCATGCTCAGTTAAATTGTCTTATATGTGTCTACACATACTATATAATGTAGTTTCAAACTGCATTATATGGCAATGTAGATGGCATTCATAACCTTTTGGAAAATACCATTTGGAGATAATAACTTTTAGAAAAGCATGATCTTTCAAAGAAGAGCCCAAAAAACCCTTTGGAATAGAATCTTCTCTTGTAGCATACAACCAGATATAATTATGCAAGGTAATGGTTTCAGTTGTTAGACTGAATAACCTGTTGCCTCTCATCTCTTAGGACAATGGTTCTCACCCTTTGGGTCCCCAGGTGTTTTGGCCTACCACTCCCAGAAATCCCAGCCAATTTACCAGCTGTTCAGATTTCTGGGAGTTAAAGGCCAAAATATCTGGAGACCCACAGGTTGAGAGCCACTGTGTTAGGAAAAAAGAGATTTGCCAGTGCATTAAAAACAGCAGATCTTTAGAAGTGTTTTTCAGTGTGTATACACACACACACATACGCATACACTCTCCCATAAAATAACTCAAGAGACAAAAATGATATAGACTTGGATAAAAATAACATTTTTGGTTTACTCACAACCTTCATGTGTTCAGCATACATAGCTACAAAACGTATCACTCCAGTTTCAGATATGTGTGAGATAATTCTCTGTGCCATCTGGCCAAAATATCTCTCTTATAACAAAACAGCTATCAACAGGCCACACAGTCAAAAGGAGAGAAAGAGCATGTGGTCTGCAGCCCCTTTTATAACTTCTCAAAAACCATAGAGTAAAGGAAGCTGCATACTGGAACATACATACAGAAAACAGTAATCAACAGGATCATAGAAAAACATTACTAGAGAAGGCTTGATTTCCAACAGATGCAGCCTAAGAATATCTGGTGTTGAAAATACTAATAGGAAGACATTACTGCACTTGTGCCCAGCGTGTAGGATTCCTAGAAGCATCAATTGGGCCACTGAGATGCAGGATGATGGACCAGCTGATTTTTGTTGTGATAACGCACTCTATGCTTAAAAAATATTTTTAGATCACTGAATTATGGGAAACTGGAAGGAATGAAGGTGCTAATGAAGGTGATCAGCTAAACATTCACACCTAACTGCAGCAGGGAAGAGCTCCTTGCCCCACCCCAGCCATTCCACAGATATATAAACCCATTTTTCCGACTTCCAATAGACCTCACTACCTCTGAGGATGCTTGCCATAGATGCAGGCGAAACGTCAGGAGAAATGCCTCTAGAACATGGCTCTATAGCCCGAAAAAACCCACAAGAACCTAGTGATTCCAGCCACGAAAGCCTTCGACAATACACTGGAAGGAAATGTTACCAACTTTGATGCTGTTCTGAATAAGTGTTTATATTCTCTGTCTTTTATCCTCCTTCACAGTCCAAGGTCTCTGAAGGACAGAGGCAAATGGATTGAATCTAAATAACTGCAGGAGCCAAAACATTCTCTATTTACATTGCCTTCAGATATTTCTTAGGGAATCAAAAGATATGCATCTTTCTAAGCTAGAAAATAAAATCCATGATCTGTGGGCTCCCATAATGAGAGACTAACAACTGCACTCTGACGACCCTGTGCGTGAAAACTTTGAAAAATTCAGTTTTTGTACTACAACTTCAATAAATTTCCAACCACATGGTCTTTCTGATTAAAGGCCTATGCAGACATATATCTTATTGTGCCAAGTTGGTCTTCATCTCTAAAAAATGTGACCAGGCTTGCAATTTTAATGTTGCTTCTTTTGTTACTTCATGATGTTTTTATAGCATAAAACGAACAGCTGTGTTATTTAAAAAAACAAACAGAAAAACATGAAAAAAATCGTAATTGACTGTTCTACCCACTATCACAGAAACAAAGTCTTCAAAGAGAATTGTACAATGGAGACCTACCTGATGTTAAATTAACCCTCTCCTAAGCATCACTTTTTCTGAATTAAGAAAACAACCAAAGCTTCTAAATGTGTTTGCAGATCATTACCAAATTAGTCTGGAATGCTCCCAGAAATTATGGAGATAGTGAAGACTTTCAAGGTAACAGAAAAAAATGCTTTGCAATTTATATAAAAGTATTTTTATGCCCATGATAGCCAAAATTATATTTCAGTGTGGGTGGGTATAGTCTTTTTGTACTCCTAGCAAGAATTAGAATCAAATGGATCACACTTTCAGGGAAACAACCTAGGAATTGTTAACGTGTTCTTAGTTTTTTTTAAAAAATCTACGTGGCATCTCATGAATTTTCTTTATGAAATGAGTGGGGCATTAGTTTATATTTATTTTCTCTTGTACATTAATAAACTAGACCACAAAGAAAATTCAGTATCCATAAAGCTGTCAATTCTGTTCCCACTTACCTGATTATAGACCCTTGCAAATGCAACAGAAGCAAACTTGCACTCTATGGTGTTGTATGTAACTTTATGCTGTAATACTTTAAGCGCATGAAATGTTTTGTGTTGTGTTTCATCCCTGGACTGCACAAGTCTCTTGTGTCATCAAGTCTCCAGTCCTCAATGAGTAGCTACACTAGAGATAGGATTAGACTGAGGGATTCCTCCCCCCACATTCCTATGCATGTTTATCCCAGAAGGGACCTTTGTCTTTACTCTTCTTGCTTGCCACTATCTCCTCCCTATTTCAAGATGTAACAATGGAATCTCTGTGAGGTATGAGGTAACTCCCTCTTTAAAGGTATTGTTATTGCCCTGGGTTTGGCCATGTGGTCATTCCCACTGTTGGCTCTATCTCTCTCTGCCCTTTCTTCCTTCCAGTTAGGATGCATTTTGCCTTTTTCCAGGCAAAATGTAACTGTGTGGATATTTTGATTTTGACCTGCAAATTTCATCATGTTCAGCCAATATGGCAAGAGATTTGGAGAGCTGTACTTCAGCATAGAAAAAGGTAGCTTACAGCCTTTCACATGTTGCCAAACCTCAAATCCCAGGAGTCCCAGTCAGCACAGCCAAAGGTGAGGAATGCTGGGATCTGAATTCAACAACATCTGGAGGGCCAAATGTTTTTCAACTCTTCAATAATAATAATAATAATAATAATAATAATAATAATAATAATACTTTTATTTCTTACCCACCTCTCCTCGGTTAAGGTGTAAGATTCTGACTCAGATTCTGGACAGACTGCACATACTGCAACAATTCCAGAGCAAGCATAAGCATTCCCTGATTGCTATCAAACAAACACCTCCAACCAGTTGCAAGGGTCCCAGATGAGCAGGACCATTCAGATAAGAGATGCACATCTGACCTCCCATCTATCAGCATCCAAATGGGATCTCTCTTGCAGAACTCAAACTTCTTTACTAAACTGAATCTTTACAGCTACCCTTGAAAACCGAATGAAGCATACTCTTATTTCGTGGGCCATGTCGTATTCATGTTGGTAAGCATCCCCATGCCAAAGGCTTTGCAAAGTTAAGTTACCTTGAAGTCTGCCTTGTAGCTAGATTCCGATGCAAAGTGATCCTCTGGGATAATGAAGCCTTGTGTTGTTTTGGTGGGTCTTGATCTTTTAGCTCCTGACCATGGACGATACTCCTGCCTAAATTTCCAAAAAGAAATCTGTATTACTACATTTCAGAATGGAAAGGGGGGTGGGGAGGAGGGGAAGGAAACAAAGCAGATCTCCTTTAACACTGATTCATTTTTGCATGAACTTTCATGAATTACAACTCACTTTCTCATATATACCTATCAATGCATCAGAGAAAGCGGACTATACATTATACTAAAGGAAGTCTTAAAGTTGCCATTAGATTTGTTTCTCCTACATCCCCTTCTTATTTTTATTTATTGCTGTATGTCTTCAAGTTGTTACCAACTTAACGGCAACCCTAAGACAAACCTATCACAGGTTCTTCTAGGGAAGAGAGTTTGTGATTTACCTAGGTTATCCATTGAGGTTTTTAGGGCTGAGAGAGGATTCAGACTCTGGTCTTGAGTCATAGTGCAAGGTTCAAACCACTGCCTATACAATGCTGGGTTATTATTATGCCTTTAAAAACATATTGTGCATCTACACCAGACATGGGCCAACTTCTGTTGGGCAAGTGGGCTTAATAACAAAAGACCCTTCTCATAAATGCATAGCGGAGTAACATAGCAATAGCGTGACCCAGCACCAGTAGCCCAAAGTGATAAAAGAACAAAACCACACAGACCAATGTTATATCTTCCACAGGTAAGTTTTCATCACTTTTCTAAGGGGTCTGGGGCTTGGTGGGTAGAGGGTAGGGCCTCCAAACGTTCTCCCAGGCTAGACCCGGGAGAATGTCTGAACACCCACCACAGAAAGTACGTGCTTTCTGGGGTGTGCGTGAACAGGCCCCAAGGAAAATCTGCATTTTAAAATGCAGATTCTCCTGGGATAAAGGCCTGTCTGAATGCGCGCTTCGACTGTTGGCTTCTAATGCTAGAAGAATTAAACTGCAAAGTTATATTATACACATGCTATAAGTTCCATGCTCTGAAAGGTTATCCAAGATTAAGTATAAATGAAAATGCAGTATAGCTAGTAGCAATACTTTGGAAATTAGAGAAATGATTATTACGTACTCTCTGAATTAAAATCCAAACCAATCTGTTGACTTTCCTGGAGTTGCACAGGCATTCTCTCTTTCCAAAGGCACCCCCTTTCTCCTCCCCTTGACAACCATTAGAGATATTTCAATCAAAGTTATCAGATGGTATTTCAACAGACAGCAGCATCTCTGCACCAGATGCAGCCCGTGAATTTTCTTGGGCAGCATACAAAATCACAACAGGCACAGGACAGCTGCCCTTACCCTGCAACCAACCAAGTCAAGATTAAAAACAAATTAAAATGAAGCTGTAGAGTTTTGAGTTCTATCCTTAAGAACCAGAATTAATCCAGGATATTCCCCTGGAAAGAAGAGAGCAACCAATGTGGCTGTCTAAAGGAATCCTGTCTGCACTGTTAAGAAGAGGGGGGAGGCTGGGTCATGCCAGGACTTTGGAAAGCCTCGGCTGATAATCGCATTGGAGGGAGGACAATCCTGATTGCCGGGTGCCACACCATGTCTGTGACAAGATGTTCTTGCTGGGGGTGACCCACAGAATTAAAAAGGGGGCAGAAATTGAGCAACAGGATTTAACATACAAAGCTTTAATGTCTGGGGATTTCTTTCTCAATGTGCAGGGGAACAAATGCAATATGTCCCACTCTTTCCTTTCGGTAAATATAGAATAGCAAAGCTGGACAAAATGCTGAATCCATACAGGCAGTCCTCCAGTTACAAACTCCAGAGATTAATCATCTGGGGAGGCCCTGCTTTTGGTCCTGCCTTCGTCGCAGGTGCATCTGATGGAGATGAGAGACAGGGCCTTCTCAGTGGTGGCCCCTTGGCTGTGGAACTATCTCCCCAGTGATATCAGAGCAGCTCCCTCCCTCCTGGCCTTCAGAAGAAAAGTGAAAACCTGTCTCTGGGGTCAAGCCTTTGGAGATTAACTACAGTACAATAATAACTACAGAATTATGTGCAATTAATTTTGGAACAGCCCTGGATTGTGGGTGCCATGATTTTTGATAGTGCTTGTAATGTTTTATATTTTTATTGTGCATTTAATTTTAATTTTAAACTTTAACCTAATATATTTTAACTTTTTGTTGTTCAAAGGCATTGAATAGTGACATATGTAAATCCGCCTTGAATCCCCTTCTGGGTAGAGAAAGGCAGGATACAAATAGAGTAAATAAAAAATAATAAATACAAGCGACTCATAGTTAAGAACGGGGGTGAGACAACAGGAAGTGAGTGAAATCTGCCTCCAGAAAGGGAAATTCATTCCTGAAAGTGTTATCATGGGGAAAGGGTGCATCAACTGAAGCTTTGTCACCAATTCTTGTTTCTACAACAAGCCATTTGTTTTTCAAAATGCAATAATCACAGGGTCAGAATGTGTGGTGAAATCTATCTGTTCAGACTTACATATAAATTCAACTTAAGGGCAAACCTACAGAACATATCTTGTTCATAACCTGGGGGCTGCCAGTATTATTTCCATCAGCTTCAGCAGAAGGAAGTGGGGTGCATCTACACTGTTGAATTAATGCAGTTTGACATTACTTGAACTGCTATGCCTCAGTGCTATGGAATCTTGGGAGTTGTAATTTCATGAGGGACCAGCACTCTGTGGCTAAGAAAGCTAAAGACCATGTAAAACTACAATGACCATGATTCCATAGCATTTTGTTTTACATGTCAGGAACGACTTGAGAAACTACAAGTCACTTCTGGTGTGAGAGAATTGGCCATTTGCAAGGACGTTGCCCAGGGAATGCTCAGATGTTTTACATCCTGTCAGAGGCTTCCCTCATGTCCCTGCATGAGAAGCTGGAGCTGATGGACGGGAGCTCATCCCCCTTCCCAGATTTGAACTGCCAAGCTTTTAGTCAGCAGTCCTGCTGGCACAAGTGTTTACCCTATTGCAACAAGGGGGGCTCTGACTCCATAGCATTGAGTCATAGCAGTTCAAGTGGTATCAAACTGTGTTACATCTACAGTGTAGAAACACCCAAAAGCCTTAAACTATCTTTGAGAGTTTGTGCAATTTAACTCAATGAGATTTGTTTCTAAGCAGGCACGTACTGGATTGTGCTGTAAATCCCCACGTTATGTAATTGTATTTCCATTTTCATAAATATCACGGCTTGAAAACCTCACCTTTGGGGCTACATTTTTCCAAATTCTCCCTGTTAGCATGACACTATTGCTGTGTATAAAGGCACTGGATATCCCAATAAGCTCCAGCTTTCAAACACTTCTCCATGACACACACTAGTGCAAGACAGTTGTTAGTGTAGTGGCCTCGGACTGGAAAAACCCAAAGTCAAACCCTTCCTCGGCCATGAACCTCCCTGCTTCACCTTGAGGCAGTCATTCACCCATTCACTCTCCTTATTCTACCTTCCAAGGATGTTGCGAGGATAAATCAGCCAGGGGAATGGAAAGAACCAAGTTCATTATGAGGGAAGTATAGATTGCCATATAATAACAATGCTTGACATCAACATAACAAATCAAACCATGGTCTTCTGAGTTGTGGTCCAATGATTAAACTATTACACCATGCTGGCTTCTTATACAAATGACCCTGCAAGTGGTGTGTGTGTGTGTGTGTGTGTGTGATATACACACACACGAGTCTAATAGTCCACCAAATGTGTTTTTTCTCTCACGTTCACACACTAAGGGATGCAGAAGGGCTTTCCATGGTTGCATCTACATTGTAGAATTAATGCAGCTTAACCCCACTTTGACTGCTATGGAAACATGGGAATGGCCATTTTTCAAGCTCTTTAGCCTCCTCTGTCAAAGAGTACTGGTGCCTCACCAAACTACAGCATCAAACCAATGGCAGTTCAAGTAGTGTCAAACTGCATTAACTCTACAGTGTGCATGCATCCTGAGTAGAAAGTGCTGTAGTGTTCCTTGATCATGGAAGTGAAACAAGTGTGAGCTCGATATTTTTGTGATCATAGGATTTATAGTTCGGGGAGGTCCCAGCACTCTCAGACTGAGAAAGCAAACCTAGGAGTTTGTTAGGCTCTTTGCAGATAAAGTAGCTCAGATCCGTTCCAACTAGGACACCAGTGTTCACGCAGTTTCCATGAATGCAACTGAGGCATCTATCTGTTTTTGTTCAATGGATTTTTTTTCAACTTGTGCAGCCTGAGGAAGTGGACAAGATCTTGGGAGGAATGAAGGCAAACCACTTGTTCTCTGGACCCTTGCCCATCCTGGTTTATAAAATTGGTCAGGGGAGGACTGGCTGAGTAGGTGAAGGTGATGGTGAGTGCCTCCTTGAATCAAGGCATAATGCCAAATTTTCAACAAGGCAGTGGTAAGACCTCTTTTGAAGAAACCGGCATTACATCCACTCAACTTAACAACTATAAGCCAGTATCAAATCTCCCCTTCTTGGGCAAGGTTCTGGAGAAAGTGGTGGCTCACAACTCCAAAGTTTCTTGGATGAAGCTGTTTATCTAGATCTATTTCAATCTGGTTTCAGGCCTGGCTATGGAACTGAGATGGTATTGGTCCCCTTGGTGGATGGTCTACGAAGTTTGATAGACAGGGTGAGTGTAGCCCTGTTGATTCTCCTGGACCTCTCAGCAGCTTTTGATACTATCAACCATGGTATCCTTCTGTGCCGACTCTCCGGGATGGGATTAGGGGGCACTGTATTGCAGTGACTTCAGTTCTTCTTGAAGTATCAGACTCAGATGGTGGTGTTGAGGGACTCCTGTTCAACTCCCTGGCCAGTGGCCTATGGTGTCCCTCTTGTCCTATTCTGTCCCCCATGCTATTTAACATTTACATGAAACTGCTGGGAGAGATCACCCGGAGATTTGGAGTTTGGTGTCAAATTTATGCAGATGACGTCTTATTACTCCTTTCCGCCTAATGTCAAGGATGCTGTCCTGGTCCTACCTGTCATCCCTAATGGACTGGATGAGGGCCAACAAGTTTAAATTGAATCCTGACAAGACAGAGATATTCCTGGTCAGTCAGAAGGCAAAGCAGGGTATAGGGTTACAGCTTGTGTTGGATGGGGTTACACTCCCCCTGAAGATGCAGGTCTGCAATGTGGGGGGAAGATCCTGGACTCGCAGCTGACCATGGAATCCCAGGTGCCAGTGGCAGCCAGGAGTGCCTTCACACAGTTAAAACTTGTGCGCCAGCTGTGCCTGCACCTTGAGACGGTAGATCTGGCCATGGTAGTCAATGCCCTAGTTACATCTCATCTTGGCTACTACAAAGCTGTCTACATGAGGCTGCCTCTGAAGATAGTTCGAAAACTCCAAATAGTTCAAAGATCGGCAGCCAGGTTGCTAACTGGAGAGCCATACAGGGAGAGGACAATTCCCATGTTATGGCAGCTCCACTGGGTGCCGATCTGCTTCTGGGCTAAATACAAAGTGCAGGTTATTACCTATAAAGCCCTAAACCAGTGGTTCTTAACCTGTGGGCTGCAGACCACCACTGGGCTGTGAGGACGAAAATCTGTTCTGCGAGCCTCCTTCCTCTTTAGTTATTTTATTTTATTTCCACTCTTTTTGTGCTGCCTGCCTCTCCTTTCCCTGTTGCTGGCCATGGCATATGTTCTGTATCAGAAACTAGAGCTGATGTGGTCTATCCAATGCAATCCAAAGATAAAGTTGATCAAAAACTGAATCGTAACCCTTTTGATCCTAATGATGGAGAGTGATCCCTGGTCAAATAGTCTTTGGTCAAGTGGTCCCTGATCAAGTGGTCCCTGGTCAAAGGAGCCCCTGATCAAGTGCTCTCTGACCAAGGACCACTTGACCAGGGAAAACTTTGACCAGGGGGTCAAAGTGTTCCTGCTCAAGTGGTCCCTAGTCAAACTGATCCCTGGTCAAAGTGTTCCCTAGACAAGTAGTCCCTGGTCAAAGGAGTTCCTGGTTAAGTGGTCCCTACTCAAAGTAGACCCTGCTCAAAGGAGTCCCTGGTCAATTAGTCCCTGGTCAAGTGTTCCTGGTCAAATTGATCCCTGGTCAAATTGGTCCCTGTTCAAGTGGTCCCTGGTCAAGAAGTCCTGGTCAAAGGAGTCCCTGGTCAATTGTTCCCTGGTCAAATTGATCCCTGGTCAAAGTGTTCCCTGGTCAAGTGGTCCCTGCTCAAAGTAGTCCCTGGTCAATTAGCCCCTGGTCAAGTGTTCCCTGGTCAAAGTGTTCCCTGGTTAAGCGGCCCTTGGTCAAAGTGAGCCCTGTTCAAGTGGGCCCTGGTCAAGTAGTCCCTGGTCAAGTGGTCCGTTGGTCAAATTGATCCCTGGTCAAAGTTTTCACTGATTAGTGCTCCCTGTTCAAGTGTTCCCAGGTCAAAGTGTTCCCTGGTCATGTGGTCCTTGGTTAAAGTGGGCGCTGGTCAAAGTGGGCCCTGCCCCTGGTCAAAAAAAAGGTTGGGAGCCACTGTAGTAGAGGCCCCCATCGGGAGCGGAGTCGGAGGCGCTGCGCAATCCGTTGCCTACCTGTAGGAGGAGGAAGAGGTGTGCTTGGCGGCTCCAGGGGGCGGCGAGGAGGCGGCGGCGGCGGCGGCGTGTGGCCAAAGGGGCTTGTACCCGGCTTCCTTGCCGCCCACGGGCTCTCCCTCCACAGCCACGGGCAGCACGTACACGCGGGAGGAGTGTATAGCCCCGGGGATGCCGGCGTGGGAAGAGGAGGAGGGTGCTGCTGCTGCGGCGGCGTTGGCGTGGGAGGGCTGTGCCTCTGTGCGGGGGCTCTCTACCCGCCCGCGGGCCTCTCCCACCCAGGGCAAGGCGTCCCTCTTCTGGAGGGGCCAGGCGCGGAAGTCCTGCTGGTACTGAGTCTCGGCGGCGGCGGGGCGGCGGCGTGGGGTGCTCCTTTTGGAGGGTCGCTTGGAAGGGCCGAGAAGGTCCTCCTCCTGCGAGGGATGATGGTGGGGGTGGTGATGGGGGTGGGGGGGATGCTGGTGCAGCGAAGGCGCGGACGCCGAGACCGGGAGGGGAGCCGCGGAAGAGGAGCCCCGCGGGGGGTGCAGGGCGGGCTGCGCGTGGGACCTGCTGCCGCTGCTGCTTCCACCTGTTGGGATCTTGGGGGGCGGGTGGGGGGCCATCCCTCCTCCTGGCCCTAGCCCTGCTCCTGCTCCTCCTGTTGCTGCTCCTACCGCCTCCTCCTCCTCGATGTCGGAGTAATTGTGGATGGTGAGGGGCACCGCCAAGTCCGACTTGTCCATCTGGTTCCAGAAGCGGGCCAAGCAGCACACGCGGCTGATGCAGGGCCAAGCCATGGCCAAGGAAGAGGAAGAGGAAGAGGAAGAGGAAGGAGAGGCAGCCACACCATGCAAGGRGCCAAGCGAGGAAGAAAGAAGAGAGGGAGGGAGGGAGGGGGGCTTCTCTCCAAGGGAGATCTGCGGTAGAACCAAAGGCAGAGAGAGGAACAGCCTTGCCCTCCTCAGCACGCTTGCCAATCGCAGCGCCTCCTTCTCCCCAATTGCTCCCTCTCTCTTTCTCTCCTCCTATTCCCCCCCCCCTTTGCACCCTTCTCCCTCTTCTCTCTCTCTCCCCCCCCCCCCTTCCTCTCACTTTGGTCAATATCCCTCTTTCAGAAGCTCCCAAACACGTGATGCCCCTGTGCACCAGCATACTATCTCTCCCCCCTTCCCCCTTTCCCCAAGCTGACAGAAGGGGCTTAATGCAGCAGCATCTGCCAGGAATGCAAAAAGAAGGGATGGAGTGAAGGGAGGGGGTGTTGGGGAAAGCTTTCTGCCTTCATCCCTTGCTCTCCCTCTTTGGGAAATGCCTCTCCTTCTCCTCTTTGCAGGCACCCTCAACTGGAACATGATGAGGATCAATGTGCTCCAAAAAGGAAAGGGAAGCACACTCACAGAGAGAGAGAGAGAGGATTATGCGGTACTAAAGCAGGTTTGGCATCTTATGAGAGGCGGGAGCAAAGTGAAGGATCAGGTGCCAGGATGGATGGCATTTTTCAAAAAGGGAAACACCGCATATACCAGGCATCAATAGGAGTCTAGTGTCTAGATCAGGGGTCCCCAAACTTTTTCAACAGAGGGCCAGGTCACAGTCCCTCAAACTGTTGGAGGTCCAGATTATAATTTGAAAAAAAAATTGAATGAATTCCTATGCACACTGCACGTATCTTATTTGTAGTGCCAAAAAAAAAACCCCACTTAAAAACAATACAACAATTGGGTTGTTGTAGGTTTTTTCAGGCTATATGGCCATGTTCTAGACTAAAGTATTCTCTACTGACGTTTTGCCTGCATCTATGGCAAGCATCCTCAGAGAGGTGTGGTAATTAAAATGAATAACAATTTAAACAAATATAAAGTTTGTTTATATTAACCTCACAACCTCTGAGGATGCTTGCCATAGATGCAGGCGAAACGTCAGGAGAAATGCCTCTAGAACATGGCTCTATAGCCCCAAAAAACCCACAAGAACCTAGTAAATATAAAGTTATTAGCATTTCAATGGGAAGTGTGGGCCTGCTTTTGGCTGATGAGATAGGATTGTTGTTGTTGCTGTGTGCTTTCAAGTTGTTTCAGACTTAGGTTGACCCTGAGCGAGGGCTGGGTAAATGACCTTCAAGGGCTGTATCTGGCCCCTGGGCCTTAGAGGACTCCTGGTCTAGATCCAGGGAAGTCATGCTACCCATGCTCTATTCTGCCTTGGTTAGACCACAATTGCGTACAATTCTGGGCACCACAATTGAAGGGAGATATTGACAAGCTGGAATGTGTCAGAGGAGGGCAACTCAAATGATCAAGGGTCTGGAGAACAAGCCCTATGAGGAGCGGCTTAAAGAGCTGGGCATGTTTAGCCTGAAGAAGAGAAGGCTGAGAGGAGACATGATAGCCATGTATAAGTATCTGAGAGGAAATCATAGGGAGGAGGGAACAAGCTTGTTTTCTGCTGCCCTGGAGACTAGGACATGGAAAAATGGCTTCAAACTACAAGAAAGGAGATTCCATCTGAACATGAGGAAGAACTTCCTGACTGTGAGAGCCATTCACCAGTAGAACTCTCTGCCCCGGAGTGTGGTGGAGGCTCCTTCTTTGGAAGCTTTTAAACAGGCTGGATGGCCATCTGTTGGGGGTGCTTTGATCGCAATTTTCCTGCTTCTTGGCAGGGGGTTGGACGGGATGGCCCATGAGGTCTCTTCCAACTCTATGATCCTATGATTCTATGGGCAAACTTGGGCTCTCCGGGGTTTTGGACTCCAACTCCCACTATTCCTAACAGCCTCGGAATAATTGCATTCCAGTTAGTCATATTCTTTGTATCAGCTCTTTTTGGGGGAAGGTTTTTTTAAAGGCTTAGTTTATAGCAATCTATCAGAAATAGTGAAGAGGAGGTGGACTAGGTGAGTATCGGCCTATTTTGTGAGTCTCTACTATTGGAACAATTAAGACCAAGACCTTGTTAGTGACATAAGCACGTGCAATTCATAAGGATCATTTACGCATCTGTCTCTTTTTGAACAGGGTGCAGGGAGCTATTCTCGTATAGCTCTTTGCATCTCCTCCAAGATCTGTCCTCAAACAGTTATCCAGTCTAAGTGACAACTGCTGCTCCATATGCATTGGAGGCAAGCCCATAGCCAGGATTTTGTTTTTTGGGGGGGCTGAGTTTGGTTCGGGGGGGCTGAGTCTGAGTGAAAGAGGGTCTACCCTAGCAAACCTTTTGTATCGTTACCCCAATACCCCCATGTATATGGGATATATTGAGTATAGCGATCAGATCATGATATGAATAAACATAGCAGTTTAAATAATGCACCAGTAAGGCCTTCTCGCGGACCACCATGAGCATTTCGGGGGGGGGGGGCTGAAGCCCCCAAGCCCCCCCCCCCCGGCTACATACCTGATTGGAGGGAGAAAAAATTCAGATGAAGATACAATTTCATAGACTGAGGAGGTACCTTCCACCCTTTAATGCACTCCCATGTCCCCTCTACAGAGTCCAGAGCACCAATATATTCATTACGCGACTTGCCCCGCTCTCATCCCTCTTCTGTAAGTAAGAAGCAGCACCCACTACCACTCAGTTGCTGGGGCAGGGAGTAAATGCGGAAGTGTAAGGGCAGAAAGTTACACACCACCTGATTGATAAGATGTTGGCCATAATACCTTATTTTAATCTACTTTATGATAACATTTGTATGTATTCTTTCCTCCCAATGCTCCAAACGTGCAAAACCTAAGACTTGGCATACCATAGATATTTCTTATAGGATCCAGATGGTGTCTATCTGGTACTCTACTGCAGTACCATTTCCAATCACAAGAAGGCAGATTCTTCAAACAGAAAAAAAGACAGAAGAAAGACAAACGAAGTAGGGAAAATCAATGTGAGTACCAGGGTAGGGGTAAGACCAAGCAAGAAATAACAAGAGGATGAGAAGAAAGAACAGAGAGGAAGATTTAAAGCGCCCAGGTAGGCGATACTGGATGGGGGATTCTTGAGAGTTACAGTTTAAAAAGGTAAGTTTGGAAGATGGGTCCTTGAAAGCTTTCATGGCCGGAATCACTGGGTTGCTGTGAGTTTTCCAGGCCATGTTCCAGAAGCATTCTCTCCTGACGTTTCACCCACATCTAAGGCAGGCATCCTCCGAGGTTGTGCGGTATGATGGAAACAAGGCAAGTGAGGTTTATGCATCTGTGGAATGTCCAGAGTGGGAGAAAGAACTCTTTGTCTGCTTGAGGAAAGTGTGAATGCTGCAGTTGGCCATCCTGATTAGCACTGAATACTAGGGCTGGGCGGTTTCGTTCGTTAATTTTGTAATTTGTTAATTATTCGTTATTTTTAACAATTACAAAATGATTTAAAAACTTATTTTCAAACCCGGAAGTGTTTTTAAATAGCGAAACGGCATCCTCCATTTTTTTTACGAGCTTTCGCCCGTTTCGGAAATGACGTTTAAGGATGGAGGATGCTGGGTGCGCCGGGAGCCAATCCGGCGCTCCCAAGCACCGTGGCTCATTCTGATTGGGCGGGCTGCCCTTTAAAAGCGGCTCCACGTGGCCGCATTTCTCATTCTGGGCTGAGGCGAGGAGCCGGGAGGAGCGGGTTGGGAGGCTTTAAAGCGTTGCTGGCTGCTGCTTGGGACTAGGGAGAGCGAGGAGGGTGGGAGAGAGCAGGAGGCATTGCTTGCTGTGTGTGTGTGTTTCACCCAGTTGTTGTGTGCCTGCCTGTGGCTGTTTTTGCCCCACTACACTGTTTGACTGTTTGACTGTTTGTCTTTGGTGAAACAAAAGCTCTGTTTCACCCAGTTGTTGTGTGTGTGCCTGTGGCTGTTTTTGGCTAGCATTTTGTAAATTTTCTTTTTCTGCTAAATATTTCTTTTATTATTAAAAAAATTAAAAAAATATTCAAAAAAAGAAGAAGAAAAACACATTTCTCTTTGGTGAAACAAAAGCTGTTTCACCCAGTTGTTGTGGCTGTTTTTGCCCCACTACAGGGCTAGCATTTTGTTAATTTTCTATTTTTAAACTTTTTCTGCTAAATATTTCTTTTATTATTTAAAAAAATTAAAAAAATATTCAAAAAAAAAGCACATTTCTCTTTGGTGTCACCCAGTTGTTGTGGCTGTTTTTGCCCCACTACAGGGCTAGCATTTCATTTGTGTAGTTCCAACCAGTGCGGCCCTTTTGCCAACACAAAGTGCTATAATACAGTGCTCCTTCCTTATTTGTGTAGTTCCAACCAGTGCGGCGCATTAGCCAACACAAAGTGCTATAATACAGTGCTCCTTCCTTATTTGTGTAGTTCCAGTGCGGTCCTTTTGCCAACACAAAGTGCTATAATACAGTGCTCCTTCCTTATTTGTGTAGTTCCAGTGCGGTCCTTTTGCCAACTCAAAGTGCTATAACAGTGCTCCTTCCTTATTTGTGTAGTTCCAACCAGTGTGGTGCATTAGCCACCTCAAAGTGCTATAATACATTGCTCCTTCCTTATTTGTGTAGTTCCAGTGCGGTCGGGGGGGGGGGGGGGGGGGGGGGGGGGGGGGGGGGGGGGGGGGGGGGCTTCATGGGCAACCAATACAGAACAGCTAGGCTATAAATCACCGATTGCTCTCCTTCTATTTTGTGTATTTCCTAAGACCTAGTTTGCGCATATAGCCACTCGTCTCATAAGTGCTTAATCATTCGCTCCTTCTTATTTGTGTAGTTCGCTTAGTGCGGGCTCCTTTTGCCATACATCAAAGTGCTTCTAATATTTCGATCTTGCCACAACAGGGCTAAGGATGCACATTAAGATACACCACCCCCAAATGTGAAGTTGGTCCTTCTTACTTAACTTGCAATACTGCTACAGAAATTAGTATGTATGCAATACTTCCCAGATAATTTTCAGAGTTTTTTCAAAGTGCAATTTTTGTTACTTTTTGTTACTTTTTCTTTATTTATTTCTTATATTTCTTCTAAGTTTTTATAATAACATTATTTTTATATATTATTAATAATTTATAATTTAATTTTATATATTATTTTTAAATATTAAATAATTATTATTAAATGTTATAATATATGATATAATAATATAATTATTATATGATATAATAATTATTTATATTATTATTATTTCATTTATATAATAATATATTATATATTATATTATTTTATATTATATAATATATTATATAATTTTATATTATTTATTATTATTTATTATTATTATTTATTATTATTTATATTTTATTTATTTAATTTTATTATTATATTATTGTTTATTTCATTATATTATTAAATTGACTCAGTTTTGGATACTTTATCTTATTACTTTTTTATTTAATATCTTAATATCTTGTTCTATTTGATTATTTTATTTGATTTATTTTATGAAATGATTTTGTTTATAGA